TTTCGGAGGTCACAAAGCACGAATTTGGGCACTAAACTTGCTGTGTCGGATTGCTCGTTGTCTCAGCTTCAGGGGGCACATTTTAGATTCTAAATCTGATGTCTGTGGGCCGAGCTACATGTAATCTACCCTGAGGTCTCGAAAAGTGCACAAACAATTGGTCGCTTACGTTAGTAGTAACTGCATTTGCATCTCGGCTGGTACTGTAGGCAACAGTCCCGAGTTCATGCCATGCTACATACGCGCTCAACAAAGACGTCGACGACTGCTTTCGCCGCTACCGCCTTATGAATCAGCAGTTGGACAAAGATGACTCCCGAAAGTTCTGCTAATCAACTCCCAACCACCTTGACACCAGAGAACATATTTTTGATATAGACTTCTAGATTTGCACATGAATGCATCAGGGCTCACGTCAACACCATGAGTTCAGAGACGACGGAATACCAAAGGTTGAGAAGACATTCGCTGGTATCCAAAGCAACGAATCCGTGGGCGAGGCCGAGGCGGTCCCATGACTACTGCAGTGGGCCATTTGACAAAGGCTCCATAAAACCTAAAAACCGTGTTGCATGCCAATTCGCACCGACGGATTTCACTAATGCATTCATGTGAACATTGAAAAGTGAGATCTTGAAAGGCTTTGACGATTTCAATTCGTTTTATGTATTGACAGGGTGTCAAAATGCACTTGCTATATGTATTGTCCTGTCAATTGATACCTCTTTTATATTATAATTCTGCTTGGTTTTCAACCTAGTATCTGCATACTTGACTTTGTTGTGAATTATAAGAACTTTTGTAAACGTATTGAAAACAGTTATTGAGTTTTAGAGGTGCAATCCGCCTTACATTGTTAACTACCGGTAGTAGGGTCTAGTAGGTAATTTAATAGGTGCACAGGTGAATAAAATTACCGTAAACGTAATCATGAACAGATAGAAAAAAGGTGGTTTTCGATCCCTGGTAACAAAGCCAAATATGCTATATGTATGGATAACTTGGCGAATACGACAATTCTATCCGACATTAGTCTTATTGGTTAAAATTTCAATACTTCGTACCTTTCATTGGTAGATGAC